TTGATAAATTCACTAGTATTATGAAAGCAATTCTTCTCAAATGGATCCATAGATTCAGCACAATCCCCATCAAAACTGTAGTGAGCTATATTTTAGGTATTAAAAAGTTAATTTTAAACTTTATATTGAAAAGCAAAATGCAATGTATAAAAATATTCAAGAAGAAAAAAGTTGAAGGACACATATTGTCCAATTTCATAAATTACTATTGCTACAATAAACACAATGTTGTATTATTAAAAAACAGACTCAGATTAACATAGTTGACTAATCTTTGACAAAGATGCAAAGGCAATTCAACAGAGAGAAGATGGCCTTCCAATAAAGGTTGAAATAATTAGACATTCACATGAAAAAAATTAGCCAATAAAAAACTCATAAATACCTTGCAAGGAAGTTTATTCAAATAGATAATAGACTTAAATATAAAATTTAAAAATATAAAAGTCTATAAAAACTCATAGAAGAAAATCTAAGTGATCTTGAGTTGGTGATCATTGCAGGTATACATGAAAAGAAAACAGCACGAACCATGAAACAAAAAGTAAGTTACATTTTAGTAAAATTAGAATAATCTACTCTGTGAAATAAAATGTTAAGAAAACAAAAAGATAAAGCATATACTAGAAGAAAATATTTAAAAACATATATGTGATAAGAAAACTATAGCTTAGCCAGCACCGCAGCTCACTAGGCTAATCCTCCGCCTGCAGTGCTGGCACACCGGGTTCTAATCCTGGATGTGGTGTCGGATTCTGTCCCAGTTGCTCCTCTTCCAGTCCAGCTCTCTGCTGTGGCCCGGGAGTGCAGTGGAAGATGGCCCAAGTACTTGGGCCCTGTACCCCATGGGAGACCAGGATAAGTACCTGGCTCCTGCTATTAGATCAGCGCAGTGCGCCGGCCGCAGCACGCCAGCTGCTCTCTCTCTCTCTCTCTGTCCAGCTCTGCCTGTCAAAAAAAAAAAAAAAAAAAAAAAGAAAAGAAAACTATAGCTGAAATATGTAAATAGTTATTAAGGGGCTGGCATCTTGGCGCAGCAAATTATGGTACCGGTTCGAGTTCCCACCTGTTCCACTTTCTATCTAGCTCCCTGCTAATATACCAAGAAAAGCAGCAGAGGATGGCCCAAGTAGTTGGGCCCCTGCAACCATGTGAGAGACCCAGAAGTTTTCATGGCTCCTGGTTTTGGCTTGATTCAGCCCTGGCCATTGTGGCCATTTGGAGAGTGAACCAGTAGATGGAAGACCTCTCTGTCTCTTCCACTCTCTCCCTGTTACTCTACCTTTCAAATAAACAAAATAAATATTTTGAAAAAAGAGTTATTAAAATCCATAATAATAAAGAAGCCAATTTAAGATTAGGCAAAATATCTAAAAAACACCAGAGAAAGATACACACTGGCAAATAAGAATATTAAGGTGTCTCAATGTCATTTTTCATTAAGGAAATGCAAATTAAAATGATATACCTGGCCGGTGCCGTGGCTCAATAGGCTAATCCTCCGCCTTGCGGTGCCAGCACACCGGGTTCTAGTCCCATTCGGAGCGCCGGATTGTGTCCCAGTTGCCCTCTTCCAGGCCAGCTCTCTGCTATGGCCCGGGAGTGCAGAGGAGGATGGCCCAAGTCCTTGGGCCCTGCACCCTCATGGGAGACCAGGAGAAGCACCTGGCTCCTGCCTTCAGATCAGCATGGTGTGCCGGCAGCAGTGCACCAGCCGTGGCGGCCATTGGAGGGTGAACCCTGTGCAAGGCAGGGTAAGCATGATGAGCAGGTTGAGGACTGACGAGTTTAAATAATTCTGGTGTGCTCTGGATTAGCTTCTATCTTATCCAGTAAGATTCCTGGGATAATTAGGGCAGAAATATTGTGGTTTGAAATGTGAGAGGCTGATATAGAAGAAGATAGGAAGCATAGAGTCATAGGGTTTGGATTGATATTTTACACATGAAATGACAGATTGGCTGGCTATCTCTAGGAGTTAGCTCTCCCTGGTAAAGGCAATACTTTCAAGGTCTATAATCCTTAACATTCAAAGTGTCCAAGCAGAAATTAGGAAATGCATGGTTATTATACCACAAAGCAGGGAAAATCACACATGAACCTTAAATAAATGCTAAGTGAAAGAAATCAGTTTAAACCCTGTACGATTCCATTTATATAATATTCTGAAAAAGGTAAAACAGTACAGACAGTGAATACATGATGGGCACCAGGAGTTTAAGGAAGGGTGGAATAGGTGGAAAAATAGTGAACTTTTAGCAGAGTAATGAAATCTCTGTATGACACTAATTGTGGATAGCTGACACTGTGCATGTTTCAAAACTAACTAAACTTTATAGCATGAAGATTGAATCTTAATGTGTATAAACCTTTTAAAAATCTTTTTAAGATTCTGAGGAATCTGAGGAGGGAAACAGATTGTGTCTAATAATCAATTTACAATTGTATGAAACAATTTCATTGAGGGTGTGGAAGGAGAGGCCCCTGGCTAGGTTTGGTCCAGCTTCTTACATCCATGAAGAAACATTTCGAGGAGGAGACATAAGCAAAAGTGAGCAGGAAAGCAAGATTTAATTCAAGGCAAAGGGGATGTATGTATTAAGGAGGAATTGCAGACAACTTTGTGGGAGAGTGAAGCCAGTCACAAAGCTTGAGGACATCCTTTTATAGGATAGGGGCTGGTGTCTGGAGCAGCACTTAGCTGAATATTCAAATAGGGGCAGAGTTTGTGGCAGAGCCTGAGTGGTGCCCATTTCTGTGCCCTCTATCTAGAAATCTCACAAGTGTTATGGCTTCACATCCATGTGGGGATGCAGGGCACATGGGGAATCTCAGAAGAGTCATGGCACCAAGTGCATGATAGGAGTGCTGTTCAGGTACTTGAAGAGACTGGGTGTGCTATCCGCAGTAACTTTATTAAGATGGCATGTTAATGACCCAAAGATTGCTGTAGGAACCCAGCCCAAGGTCACGTTCACTAAATCTAGCTGGTACGACCCTGGCAGTGGGTCTGCACAGAAGGGGTTGGGGTTTGAGCAGTGCACAAGGGACTGCAGCACAGGTGCTGGCAGACCTTAGTTCTTCATTAATAACCCCCTGCCTACATCAAAGGGAATGAAGGAAAAAGTTCTGACCTAAGGAACTGTAAGAGTAATAGTAAAGAAAAGAGTGCAGCAGTGTTGCATTCTAGTTGATAAAGTTAAATGACATGGAAGTATGGATTAACAATTCTTATACCACTATACATGTATACTGAAACAGAACAATTAAGTGATGTGTTAACAGAATGTTAAAATCAGATTTGTCATATTTTTCAGTGGGTGTTAACAAATAAGCATGCAGGAGATCACCCCCCTGCAACCCTAAACCCTGGCTGTATTTGTCTGATGTGCAGTAAGCCGATCACTGACAGCAGGGTGTTTGAAAAAGAAAGAATTTACTTGCAAGCACAGAGCAAGGAGCTAGGCAGCTATTATTTAACTCCTAGGGTCTTTTTGGGCTAGAGGTAATGGTTTATAGATTGAGGTTGGGGTTGAGAGTTGTGTGTCCAGCTCATGTGCTGGTCCCTGGATGGTCCCTCTTGATTGGTCAGTGATATTGTATTCTTTTAGCAATTTTGATGATGGTAAAATGGGCTTCAGTCAGCCAGGTGGTAGTTACTTTCTGCTCAGAGCCTGGGGTTCCTGGAAAAGCCCTCAAGACAAGACAGAACATCAAGATGTTATCTATAGAGGAATTAAATGACTTCATAAGTCTCGTGATCAGCGACCTTGCAGGGCCGGCTCTACCACTCCCTCAATTCAGTGAATTATTTTCAGGAGAGATGACTTGCAATCATAAAAGCAGGACAAGAAAACTTTAAACTAAAGAAGCAAAGGAGAGAATAAAATGGTAAACCTTAGCTTAAATTCCCTACGATGACAGGGAGATCATAGGAGACTAGAAGCTGATAGTCTGCACCATCTGCACTGAGGGCACTGTACTGGGCGTGGTTTCAAGCATGATAAGAAGGCTGAAATGATCCATATGGTAATTATTAGAGTTGAGACATAGTCACATTTAGCTTAACACTAATGCAGATGATTGCATAGAGAAATATTTGTAAATGTGCGTTTATAGACAGGATCATGTCCGCACGTGTATTATTTTTTGAACTGAGAGAACTTGAAAGCAATCACACCTAAGTAGAAATGAGTGTATCTAACACCAGATTTCAGTTTCTAACACTTTCTGCAATGGAAGAATGATTTCTTACATCATTCCATGATTTAAAAAAATATCATTTTCTAATACCAAGAATCCTTGGGGGAAAACTCCAACTTTATGGCTGAGGTAGAAAATATTCAAAATGCAACTAAAGTACCTTGTAATGGCAAAAAAATAAGGAAGTGCTAAAAAAAAAGGATTGTGGCATATCAAAGTAATTTAGAAGCTAACTACAAAAGTTCCCAGGAAGAATATTTAGCCTAGTGCTTATGTTGCTGATTAGGATGCCACATGTGACATGAGAGTACCTGGGTTCAGTTTCAGGCTCTAGCTACACATTTCAAATTCCTGTGCATGCAGACCCTGGGAAGTAGACGTGATAGTTCAAGTAGTTGGGTTCCTGTCACCCACCGAGGAGGAATCATTTGAGTTCCTGGCTCCCGGCTTCCGCCCTCCACTGTCGCAGGCATTTTGAGGATATGCCAACAGATAGGAGGGTTCTCACATGTGCTTTCTATCTGTTCACCTTCCCCTGTCTTTCTGTGTCTAGTGTGTGTCCCTGTCTGTATGTTTGCCTCTTAAATACATAAAAATTTAAATTTAAAATTAAATAAATAGTCAAAGCTAGAATGCCATTTTAAGCTTTTTTTTTAATTTCATTTGAGAAGCAGAGAAAGCAAGCAAGCAGGAATAAGGAAGGAAGAAAGAAAAAAGGAGAAAAAAAGGAAGGAATGAAGGGAGGAAGGGAGGGAAGGAGGGGGAGAGGGAGGGGGGAGGGAGGGAGGGAGGGAAAATGGAAGGATAGAAGGCAGGCAGGCAGGCAGGCGGGCAGGTAGGCAGATCTCATATGCAGTTCATTCCCCAAATGCCCACAACATCCAGGGCTAGACCAGGCTAAAACCAGGATTCCAGAACTCAAATTGGGTCTGTCATGGAGGTAGCAGGGCCCCAAGAACTTGAGCTATCACTTAGGATGTGCATTAACAAGAACCTGAAATCAGGAATGGAACAAGGATTCAAAACCAAGCATACTGATATGAGATGACAGAGCCCCAAGTGGCATCTTTGCTGCTGAGACAATTGGCATATCTAAAGCTGGAACAATGTGCACAATAAAATATAGTATTGCATTATAACCCATTGGATAAATAAATATGAATACATATTACTTTCAATAAATGATTGCATGAATAATACAACAAAAGAGACAAATTTCATATATAGAAGAATATCAAATAAAACAGCTCAAGTAATTCAGGTATATAGTGTACCCTTAAGTGGGAGGTGAAGTGTAGGTTCTACACAGTGATTTCCTTTCCTGGAGCATGAGAAGTGGAGGAAAGAGTAACTTTAGAGTGGAGAAACTTGACAAACACTACATCAGGTGATCAAGATTAGTAAGAAAGTGGTATCACATTGATACTATATATCCTGATACGATATGTTGAGGATGGCAATTCACCACTGTGGTCTTCCTCTCAGAACACATAACTCCAGTCTAGTCACAAGAAAGGTATCAGAAAATTCCAACCCTGGAAATTGCGTCAAATATCTGAGCAGTTTGCATCAAAACTTTCAAAGTCATCAAGAGAGATTGAGACTTGATGAATAAATCTAGTTTACAAGGGATATTGCAAGCGAATAGCAGCATTACATTTTTAAAAAGAATTAAAAAAATCTGAAAAGGATATGGACATTGGTTACAAATGATATAACCATACTGGTTCACTAGTTGTGAACAATGTGCCATGCTAATGAGAGGGAGAAATGTATGAGGGGTATGAAAGAGTTCTTAGTAACATCCCTGTAATTTTCCTATAAATCTAACACTTGTAGCACAAGTGTTAAATCACCACTTGGGATACCTACATTTTATGTCAGCAGAGTACCTGGTTCAAGTCCTGGTTATTCTGCTTCCAATCCAACTTTCTGTTGATGTGCATGATGCAACAGGTGGACTCAAGTACTTAGGTCCATGGCATTCATGTGGGACACCTGGGTTGATTACCAGCATCTTGGTTTAGGCCTGGTCCAACCATGGATTTGGTGGATTTTTGGGCAATAGGCCAGCAAATAGATCATCTCTCTGAAAATATATGTAGAAATATGATCATTCACATCCATTCTGTATAACAGAATACAAATTACAATTTAAAAAAAGACTATTTAGGTATCTAAATCATCAGTGTTTATACAAAATTACATACAATTTAATCCATATCTATTACCTATTTGTGCATTATGAACTTTGGTCCAATATATATTTATTGGTTCATTCTTTGTTCTTGCAGTAATGGAATAGACCTATTGTATCAGCTACACTGTAGGGTTAGGATTACTGTAGAGATTTAACTGCCTTTTTCTTATTATTCTGCATTTCAAAAATATTCTAATGTTTCCTGTTGGTAGTAAGCTCAAAAAACAGAAAATAATAAAAGCATAGCTCCCCAAGCAATCAGAAAAAGTAATTGATTATTTCAGTGGAAAAGAATTGATTGGCTATTTTTTTTAAAGATTTCACAATGTATTCTGTATTCTATTGATTATTCAAAAAAGATTTGTTTATTTTTATTTATTTATTTATTTGAAAAGTAGAGTTACAGAGAGAGAAGGAGCTGTTCTGGTCATTCAGTCTGTATGACACCCCAACTGAGGCAGATAGGCATTTTGCAAGAATCTCTAGGTGAATCACAGTACAAATCTTTAGGATTTTGAAGCAAAAATATGTTATCCTCTACCAGTATTATACATTTATTTTTTGAAAAACAGCTTCTGGATTACTACAGAACAGTGATGGAGACTGAATTATTAACCATGGGCCTTGACATTACCATGAGACTTGAGCTACCCATCATATGTTGGGGTTGTTTGACCTACAAATTAAAAGTTAGCACTATGTAATCAAGCTGAACTGGGAAAAGAAGAAATGTAAGGTACATCCCAAAGGCATATGAAGAAATGGCCACATGCATCAGGTTTATAGACAGTGACTAACGGTTTAGCTGGACTATTTGGGACTTAGAAGGGATAAGACTGGAAACATAACCATCAAGAGGTCCCTGGAGAGGCATGTGAAAAGACGATCCCAAATATAAAGTGTATAAAGGTATGGCCTATATGAAAGCTCATTAACGAATGTGCTCAGCAGAGGAGAACCTTAATGATCTGGTGGATAAAATTTTATGGATGTCAATCAGCCTCTTTTCCCAACTGTCACTGTCCTTGCCCAAGGAGATGATTAACAAAGTAGCCATGGGAGCCCAATGTGGATTATGCTTATGCTTAATATCACAAAAGTCTACCCATTAAGGCTGATCTAGCAACAACGCCTAACTGCAAGCAACAGAGACCAATAGCCTCCACTATAGAATTCCCAGTAAAGATTAGCTGGCTAGCCAGGTTCATTATATTGGACCACTTCCATCATAGAAGGGCAGCATTTTTCCCTCACTGGAAAGTAGACACTTATTCTGCCTTTCTAACTGTAACACTTGCACCAAAATCACCATCCATGAAGTTATAAAAGACTTTATCCATAGCATAGATTCTGACCAAAGCACTTGTTTTATAAGATGTAAGTATGGCAAGGAACCCATACTCGGGAAATTCACTGGGCTTACAGTGAATGGGCTTACATCATTCTACATGTCTGATCAAACAGTAGAGCGGTCTTTGGAAGACTTAGTCACGGTTCCAGATGCACGGTAATACCTTGCAGGATTGGGGTTAAAGTTAAATGTAGCCACTAGAATGCAGTATACACTCTAAACCAGTAGCCAATATACGGTGCTATTTCTTCAACTGCCAAGATTCATTGATCCAGGGATCAAGAGGTGGAAAATAAAAGTGGTTCCTAAAACTATTATCTCTAAAGATTCATTCATAAACAAATATTTGCTTCCCATCCCTATGACTTTGAGATCTACTAGAATAGATGCTTTCATTACCAAAGAAAGCACACTTCCTCCAGAAAATACAGCAAAAATTCTATTGAACAGAAGTTGAAATTACATCCTGGTCACTTTGAGTTCTTCATTCGAATAAGTCAGCAGGCAAACAAATTTTCTATAATGGATGAGTGACCCGATTCTAATTCTGACAAAGGGAAACTGAATTGCTACAAAATAATGGAATACTGAGGAATATATCTATTAGGTACATAATCCCCTGGAGTGACTAGCTAGTACTCCCATGTTCCATGATTAAAATCAATGGAAAACTATAGCCCTCTAATAGGAAGTAAGACTACAGGGTTAGACACTACACCAGTAAAGGCTAGATCAAGAACCACAACCAGCTGAATTGCCTGCTGAGGGCAAAATGGGTAGTGAAATAAGGAAAGTATGAATACCAGTTACAACCTCATGACCCTTTGCAAAATGGAGAACTGCCATATTAATGATACTTTTTCTTATTTTGATGTGACTATACTTGTATGAACAGGCATGCATTGCTTAACAATGAGGGTACATTCTGAGAAATGCATTGTTCAATGACTACATCAGTGTTAGAAATCATAGCCAGACACAAAGCTGATAGTATAGGTCAATCCCTTGACATGGTCTCTTAATACAATCAGGAGAGGTAGTAAACACAGATAGTGAGGCTGCTGCCATTTTAACATGGTATTCTGCTTCATAGTAAACTTCTTCTATAAATATAATGAATATACTCTAAAACAAAACAAAAATATAGTCTGGTCATAAACCAGTAATATAATGACTTATAATCATGATCAAGTATTATGTACTATACCTAATTGTATGTTCTATGCTTTTATTCTACTGGAAGGTCAGTAGGTTGTTTTACATCATAATCACCACAAAAAAAAAGAGTACACATTGCCTCATGATATTATGTTGGTCACAATGTCACTAGGCAATAGAAATTCTCCAGCTTTATTAGCATCTCCTTGTACCTTTATCAATACTCACTCTGCCCCTTGGATGAAGTATCATAATGTGTATATGACTTATTTTCAATCAATTCTTTCTAACTTCTATTGCTCCATTTCCCTGTCTTCTAACCTGTTTTAACAGTAATCTATATCTCAGGATAAAAATGATGGGATATCGGCTGGCGCCGCGGCTCACTAGGCTAATCTTCTGCCTTGCGGCGCCGGCACACAAGGTTCTAGTCTCGGTCGGGGTGCCGGATTCTATCCCGGTTGCCCCTCTTCCAGGCCAGCTCTCTGCTGTGGCCAGGGAGTGCAGTGGAGGATGGCCCAAGTACTTGGGCCTTGCACCCCATGGGAGACCAGGAGAAGCACCTGGCTCCTGCCTTCGGATCGGCGCGGTGCGCCGGCCACAGCGCGCCGGCCGCGGCGGCCATTGCAGGGTGAACCAACGGCAAAGGAAGACCTTTCTCTCTGTCTCTCTTTCTCACTGTCCACTCTGCCTGTCAAAAAAAAATTGATGGGATATCATCAAGAGAGTGGAATTTAGCAAAGGGATGAATATCTGAAATGGCAAAAGAATTTTGTATCCACTTTTGGGGATATGGTTAGTGTGCCATCCTTGTGTGTGAGATATTTACATCATGTTACATGAAAGCATGATTTTGCTATTGTCTTTATTTAAAAGTTAAATATAGTTAAAAGAAGTGGCTAATAATTTGAGAATTGCTGAGCTGTGGTGGCTTTGTACTACATCAAATCTGCAACTATATTTTCCAGAATTCTCTTGTTATGTGGCTCTAAGAACTGAAGAACATTTGTACAAAATTTGGAAGTGGAAATAGAGCAACAGTTATTTGGATACTCTATACAGGTTAGTGTCATTGTATTACTGCAGTTCATATGGGTTCTCATCCATCTAGTGGGTCACCTTATTGGTGTGGAACAGCATCTGAACTCACATCAACTCTTAATATTGTCAGATCTTATTGTTCTGCAGCTCTGAGTCCTGAAACTCAGCATGTACCTGCAGGTCACCTGTGGAGCAGTTTGAGTTAATGAGACAGACTTGGGTTTAATTCATTCTTTTTTTTTAACTTTTATTTAATGAATATAAATTTCCAAAGTACAGCTTATGGATTACAATGGCTTCCCCCCCATAATATCTCTCCCACCCACAACCCTCCCCTTTCCCACTCCCTCTCCCCTTCCATTCACATCAAGATTCATTTTCGATTCTCTTTATATACAGAAGATCAGTTTAGCATACATTAAGTAAAGATTTCAACAGTTTGCTCCCACACAGAAACATAAAGTGAGAAATACTGTTTGAGTACTAGTTATAGCATTAAATCACAATGTACAGCACACTAAGGACAGAGATCCTACATGAGGAGTAAGTGCACAGTGACTCCTGTTGTTGACTTAACAAATTGACACTCTTGTTTATGGCATCAGTAATCACCCTAGTCTCTTGTCATGAGCTGCCAAGGCTATGGAAGCCCCCTGAGTTCACTGACTCTGATAATTTTAGACAAGGCCATGGTCAAAGTGGAAGTTCTCTCCTCCCTTCAGAGAAAGGTACCTCCTTCTTTGATGACCCGTTCTTTCCACTGGGATCTCACTTGTGGGGATCTTTCATTTAAGTTTTTGTTTTTTTTTTCCCCCAGACTGTCTTGGCTTTCCATGCCTGAAATACTCTCATGGGCTTTTCAGCCAGATCCGCATGCCTTAAGGGCTGATTCTGAGGCCGGAGTGCTGTTTAGGACATCTGCCATTCTATGGGTCTGCTGTGTATCCCACTTCCCATGTTGGATCGTTTTCTCCCTTTTTTATTCTATCAGCTAGTATTTGCAGACACTAGTCTTGTTTATATGATCCCTTTGGTTCTTAGTCCTATCATTATGATCAATTGTGAACAGAAATTGATCACTTGGACTAGTGAGATGGCATTGGTACATGCCACTTTGATGGGATTGAATTGGAATCCCCTGGTATGTTTCTAACTCTACCGTTTGAGAGAAGTCAGCTTGAACATGTCCCTAATTGCACATCTCTTCCCTCTCTTATTCCCACTCTTGGGTTTAAATTCATTCTAAAGGATTCAGTCTTCCTGATTTCAATTTTTTTCCTGTTCTTGTATATGTCCAGCTCTTTTCTTCTCTCAGTCTGATTGATTTATATGATTTAAG